GTAGTAGTAGTAGGGAGTAGTATAGTAGTAGTAGTAGCAGAGTAGTAGTAGTAGTAGTAGTAGTAGTCGCAGTAGTAGTAGTAGTAGTAGTAGTAGTCGTAATAGTAGTAGTAGTAGTCGTAGTAGTCGTCGTAGTAGTAGTAGTAGTAGTAGTAGTAGTAGTAGTAGTAGTAGTAGTAGTAGTAGTAGTAGTAGTAGTAGTAGTAGTAGTAGTAGTAGTAGTAGTAGTAGTAGTAGTAGTAGTAGTAGTAGTAGTAATAGTAGTAATAGTAGTAGTAGCAGTAGTATTGTTTGTGGTATTGGAAGGTGTAGTAGTAATCATAATATCAGGATTCGTATCACCAGCATTAGTAGCCGTAGTATTGTTTGTGGTATTGGTAGTGGTAGTAGTAATAATAACATGAGGATTCGTATCACCAGTAATATAATAAAAGTTGTCGTAACATTGGTCATAGTCATCGTTATAGTAGTACTTGTAATAGTAGTAGTCGTCGTCGGTGGTGGCGTCGCCACCGAGGCTTCATTCCGGCCCACCCCTCTCGAGGATCGTGGCCCTGGCCCCACAGGGAGCCCCACCGAGGCTTCATTTCGGCACACCCCTCTCGAGGATCGTTGCCCTGGCCCCACAGGGAGCCCCACCGAGGCTTCATTTCGGCACACCCCTCTCGAGGATCGTGGCCCTGGCCCCACAGAGAGCCCCACCGAGGCTTCATTTCGGCACACCCCTCTCGAGGATCGTGGCCCTGGCCCCACAGGGAGCCCCACCGAGCCCTAGGATCGTGGCCCTGGCCCCACAGGGAGCCCCACCGAGGCTTCATGTCGGCACACACCTCTCGAGGATCGTGGCTCTGGCCCCACAGGGAGCCCCACGTTTCCCGTTTCCCGTTTCCCTCCCCCCCCCCCGGGGCCTCCAGGTAACGTCCTTACGAACAGCAACAACTGCTGCCCAAAACCACCAGCGGCCGCCGCTGGGCAGGCGGCCTTCTGCCTCAGGCGGGTAACGCCCCCGGCAACAACGAACGACAGCAAGCCCGGTTCAAAACGGGCAGGAACTGCTGTTCATTGTTTAGGCGGCCGCATGCGAAGTGAGCCCCACCCTCCCCCTCAAAAATCGTGGGGGGTAGGGGTAGGGTTCGCATGTGGCCCCCTATTGTTGTCCCCACTCTTTCCGTACCCAGCTCGATCGCACAGACGAGGGGCGGCCGTCGATGTCGGCGCCAGAAGCCCCGAACCCACAGGCGCACGGGGGGGCGCTCTGGGGCCGCGGGGGCCTGCGCGACCTGGCCCGATGGAGGACGGCATGCGCCCGCGGGGGGCTCGGACGGGGGACGAGCAGGAGAGGGCGCAGGGAATTCTTAGTCGGCAGCCGCAGGCGAGAGCGCCAGCGGCGAGTCAGGGTCCGAGCGGGGCGCGCGAGGGCCTAATTAATCAGAGGCACGCCTAACACAGCCACTCCGACAAGGAAGACGAAGAGGGGGGCGAGGCTGCTCACTGCCAGGGGCTGCACGCATGCAACGAGCTGCAAAGGGGGCTGACTGCCAGGGTGGCAGAGGGACGCAGGGAAGCGCAGCGAGAAAAAACGCAGTGTGCACAGCTGAAGCCGTAGACCCAGTCTCTGTGCGGCACGATCTACGAGCTGGATCGACCTGTGATGCTTCGGGGGCTCGGAGCTGGGCGGAAGCGCCAGCCTCGAGAAGTTGAGACGCCAGGACCACTGGGAGAGCTCCGGACAATACACCACCGTCAGCCCTGTCCAGGCCTGTCCTGGGCCCTGGGCTGGTGCACAGGTCCTCCTGGCCTGGGCCTGGAGGTCTATACACCAGCCCAGGTCCCAAGATGGACCATGGTTGGAGGCCTGGAAATGGGCACCAACACCAACACAGGGGGTTGCCTCCACAGGGGGAAGATGATCCTCGATTTCGGTGTTGATGGTAATGGTTCGGTCACCTTGGAAGCCAGAAAATTACCACCATCACCGAGATCGGGATCCTCTTCCGTCGGTGGAGGCACACCGCCGATACTGGTGTTGCTGTTAACCTCTAGGCCTGCGACATGGCCAGGGCTGGCGGTGGCGTATCGTTGGCGCCCCTCGGAACCACAGGGGAGACGGAGGGAGGAACACGGCAGACGGCTCCTCGCCTCGGGCGGTCCGTTGTCGTCGGCGCCAGCATCCCGGAGCACCCCCCCCCCGGGGAGCGCCTGCGCGGCGCGGGCCCGTGGTGGAGTGGGGGCGGTTCCGGGGGGGGGGGGGAGGGGGGAGTAAGCTTACGTCGGGCCTGCCCCCCTACAGGAGGATTTTCTACGAAAAATAAAAAATACCCCAAAAATAATCAAAAAATACTCTGGGGACTATCTTTTGAATATCTTTTGACCTTTTTGGGATATGTTTGGGGTATTTTCTGTTTTTCGTCGAAAACCCCCCTGTAGGGGGGCACGCCCGACTTCAGAGTAAGCAGACTCTTCCCTGGCCATCTTGACTTTCCTCTTCGCCCCCTGGATTGTCGAGGCCCATGCCGTCGGCCAGAGCTCGGTGAGGGCCTCAAGACGGCAGCACCCGGCCCGCTGTGGTGGGCTACGTTCGGGTTGCGGAGCCGGTTCGACAGAATGGTCAAGGGTGCGAATCGTCACGGGGGGGGGGGGGATCCGGAGGTACCGCGTCGTGCTCAGTGGGACGGGGGGGGCGAAGAAGGGCACATCCTTGCGCACACCCTTTGGGCCCCATGGGGCCCAATGTCAGGGCCCCGAAGCAACACACAGGGTGCACCTCTCTAAGGAGCCGAACTCTGTACACACCAGCGCCTTTGTCTGGCCTCACACCGAATCTCGCACAGGAAGGCGGATCCTGTTGTATACGGGAGCCTGGTGTATGCATTCTTCGTGGTTTCCCCGGGAGAGCGGGGAAAAAAACATACACCACACCACCCCGACGTCGTCCCCGACCCTCGAAGAAGTCCTGGGATTGAAAAAACCGCCCGCCGCTGGTAATGTAGATGCTCCATGTTCCGACTTTCTGCACACACCCATTTGCTGCCCCGTCGCGCGCATGAACTTGGATGAGGGATCCGTGGATCTGGCGCACAGGCGCCAGATCCACAGATCGGGGACAGCCTCCCCAGAACATGAGGCCAGTGGGAACCGGGACCTGTCGCCATTATGTATGGAAGCGGGGCCCGTCGCTGATCTATGCATCTTGATCCATGTTTGCGCTTCCTCGATCCTCCTTGTCCGGAGCATCCTCCCCTCGCCCCCCCCCCTCCCTGAGGTCAGCGTGCTGCCAGAAGGTACGCTGAACAAAGACCGAGCACAATCTCCTGGCCGCTGCGAGCCCCGACCACAAGTTGTTTCCCCGACGCAAATCGAAGGAGCGGCCCGGAAACTGGAGCCCCTCCTGAGTCCAAAGTGGTAGTTATCCTAGCGTCTCCACTGTTCGGGTAATTGCCCTTTCACTGTGCGTCACCGTGTCGACTCGGGTTCTCGCGAGAACCCAGGCAGAGCCACGCGTGGTCACTGCAAGTCACAGGCGGAACTTCTCTCCGCGTCGCCACTGTCTCGTGGCGACGAGGGGGGGGCCCGAAGGCCCAGAAGACCTCCCAGGGACCAACCGCAAGCGTGATGGCCAGCTTGACAAGGAAACAATGCCAGCGACAAGGACTCAAGCGGCATCGCCTGAGTCGCTGGCTTCCGGAAGGCCAGCAAAGGTCATCCCAGACGGCCACAACATATCATGGCGTGGCAGCCTCTTAACATATTCTAGAGGCGATGAAAAGCGCGAGTCTTTGACCATGCCGCCTAGCCTCCTGCTGGCCAGCAGGCATTGCACAGAGACCTGGCCAGCGCTTGTCAGCGTAAGCTCCGCAGACCGAGCAGAAACAAATAGGCCCCTCTCGGTGAACCGCGCGCTGCCCGCTTCCCCCGTGCACTTGACTTGACGCATGATCGATCGCGACTTGGCCGACCTAAGGCAGATCGTAGGAAAGAACCGCCCGTGCTGCCGAGAGATGGCAGGGTTGCATCTGGAGTGGGCCATCAGAGGCCCCAAACCTCCTTCAATGGTGCCGATGGCCCTACCCAGGACCTGGGGCTAGGCATCCGCAGGGGTCTCAGAACCAATACGGGAGGCCAAAGGGCACAACGTGCGCTCTGGAGCCAACATGGCCGCGCCAAGCAGGTTCCCTCCCTGGCCCCTCCGCTCGACTCTGTCAGCTCCGCAAGCCCGTGCCCGAGCCGACCCAAAGCTGGGGCTGGCGAGGAAGCCCGAAACGGCCCTCCCAGACGCCCACCTTGAGAAGGAACCTCCCCAAACATCCGGCGCCTCGACATTTCTGAAGGGAACCCAGAACACACAAATAAATGCACAAAAATAACATATATCCCCATATTTTCTCCCAGTTTCTGGGTTTTTGTCTTCCCACCCACTTCCCATAGTTTCCCATGTTTTCCTGGGAATCGACGATTCATTGTGTCTGTGTGCTTCTTTCCCTCCTGGATTTCCAATGCGTGGGCCTCTGCATCTCTCGACAATCCTCTTCCCCGAGCCCGGCCTCTCCCGCCCGAGCCGCTTCTGAAGGCCTCTATAGGCCCGCAGCTGGCCTCCGGCTGCCACAACTGATGTCCATCTGGCCACCTCCCTCCTCCTCCTCCTCCTCCTCCTCCTCCTCCTCCTCCTCCTCCTCCTCCTCCTCCTCCTCCTCCTCCTCCCCGAGCCCGGCCTCTCCCTCCGAGTCGCTTCTGAAGGCCTCGAGGCCCGCTGGCCTTCTGGCTGCCACAAATCATGTCCATATGGCCACCTCCCTCCTCCTCCTCCTCCTCCTCCTCCTCCTCCTCCTCCTCCTCCTCCCTCCTCCTCCCTCCTCCCTCTCCTCCTCCTCCTCCTCCTCCTCCTCCTCCTCCTCCTCCTCCTCCTCCTCCTCCTCCTCATGCTTGGGGTCGGGCGCTGGCGACGACGACGACGACGGTGGCGGCGGCGACGCCGACGAGTAACCGCGGCGGCGTCGCACGTCCTCGCGCCCCGCCCAGAGCGGCTCGCGCATGTGGCAGCCCCTGGAGTGCTCCCCGGGCTCCTGGCGGCAGCACTCTCTGGGGGAGCGGGGAGGAGGAGGAGGAGAAGGAGGAGGAGGATGAGGAGGAGGAGGAGGAGGAGATGGAGGAGGAGGAGGAAGAGGAGGAGAAGGAGGAGGAGGAGGAGGAGGAGAGTCGATGAGGCTATTGATTTTTCTTTGATGCGTCTGGGTCCTGGACATCCTCGCGCCCCGACAAAACAGAGACGGGAGATATTCTACAAGTTTCAACAGCCGGGGTCCTTCTTGGCGGCGCGCACAAGGGGGTGGAGGGAGGGGGGATGGCTTCTTAGAAGGAGGCTGCTTCTTAGAAGGCGCCGGCCTTGCATCTATAGAGAAGGCCCGCGACTTCTAGGAAGCAGGGGTGCTTCTAAGAAGCCCTCCCCCCTCCCCCCACCCCCCTCTGCGCGTGGCTGACCGTCACCACGCCCTGGAACAGTCAACACAAGACTCGGGATGAACATCCGGCCCCAGAGAAGGGATCCCACGCTGCGGGCAAAAACAGACAAGTTACCTGGCTGGGAGACTCCGTTTGCTTCGGTCTTCCCCCCCACCGCTTTCTATACATATGCACACACGTACCAACATGTATATGCATACACGCATGTGTATCATATAGACATGTATACACATGTATGTATGTGTGCATGTATGTATGGATGTACGCGCACGTTCGCGAACAGTGCTCGCCCTCAGGGTATCTCACTTGTCCTCCAAGGAATTGGGCCTGTCTGTCGGTCCCGCGGCCGTGTTGCCGCCGCCGCCGCTCTGTCGCCGCTTCGTCGCCGCCCGTCGTCTGGGCCCGTCTGTCCGTCTGGCGGCCATGTTGCCGCCGTCGCTGCTCCGTCGCCGCCCCGTCGCCGCCCGTCGCCCGGGCCGCCGTCGCCGCCCCGTCGCCGACCTGTCGCCGCCCCCCGTCGCCGCCTAGATTTCTCGTGTTTGAAACAAGTCTTGGGGTCTACCCCCCCCCCGGATTTCACATCCCCCGTTTCGTATTGCAATTGACATCTGATCATGTGGATCATGTAGTCCCTTGCAGTGGTGGTGTCGCTTTTCCTTGTTCCTCGGAGGGGTCGAGCAATCCGCATCTTCCAGGCATGGCCTGCTGCGTCGCCGTGGTCACAAAGGCTTTCAAAGCAGAGGAGTCGGGGACCAAGAAGGAGCGCCTCGCTCGAGACATCCCCACAATCTGGCCGCGGATGGGCAAGTGTCCCCCCCCCCCCACCTGGCGTCCGCCCCTTGGGATGTCCAACTGCTATGCCTGCTGCATCGCTGCGAAAAGAAAAGAGTCGGGGACGCCAAACGAACGAACCGCTCTAGACATTCCCACAATTCCGCCGCGACCGGGCAAGTGTTCCCAACCCCCCTGGCGTCTCCACGCTGGGATGCTCAATTGCCATGTCTGCTGTCTTGTGGTGATCGTGGGCCTCTCAAAAGAAAAAAACGTCCGGGACGCCAGACGAGGAAGCCGAGCCGCTCAAGGCATCCCGACAGCCTGGCCGCGAACGGGCAAGTGTCCCCCCCCCCCCCCTGGCGGCTCCTGCTTGGGCCGCCCAACTGCAATGCCTCCTACATGATCACGGCGACATTGCGACGGAGTGTGATTATGAGTGGGTGCAAGCACGCTTGGATCTGAATGCGAATGAGTCTGAGCGCGGGTGATCCCGAGTGTGAGTGAGTTTGAGGATGAGTGAGTCTAAGTTTGAGTGATTATGGGCGCGAATGAGTCTGAGTGTCAGTGGATATGAGTGCGAGTGAGTCTGACTATGAGCGAGTCTGCGCAGAATGAATGAATCTGAGTGTGAGTGATCACAAGTCTGAGTGACTGAGTGCTGGTAAGCCTGAGTACGACGAAGCCCAGCGTGAGCGGAGCTGCGTATGACCAGGCTGAGTTGAGCACGATCGATGGCCAGGCTGAGTTGAGCGTCGCCGCGCTAAGCTCGGCACCCGGGCGCGCGGCGACGGACGGCGACGACGACCGCGGTGACGTCAGCGGCGACCACGACGACGACGAGATACGAGGAACGACGATGACGGTGACGAGGGACGAGGGACGAGGGACGAGGGACGAGGAACGAGGAACGAGGGCCGAGGACGAGGACGACGGACGGCGGACGGCAACGACGACGAGGTACGACGACGACGAAGAGGAGGAACGACGACGACGACGACGACGACGACGACGACGACGACGACGACGACGACGACGACGACGACGACGACTGACAACGACGACGACGCACGACGACGACGACGACGACGGCGAGGGACGAGGGACGACGACGAGGGACGACGACGACGACGAATGCAACGCGGACGGCGGCGGTGGTGACGAGAGCGGCGAGACTGGCGAGCGGCGGCGGTCGGCAGGGCGGTCGCCGGGCGCCCGCGCGCGGAGATCCGGTACGACAAGGGGTCGACCGCACGGCGGCTGTGACCGCCCTGTCGGGAGGCCGGGGGCCGCTCTTGCTAGACCTGCCTTCGGCATGTCGATCGCGCTTGCTCTGCATGGGAGGATGCCGTGTTGAAGGCTGCGCTGAGCCGGTGGAGGCCACAGTCGTTGCGTGCGTCGCTTCCCTGAGAAGGGTTTCACCTCAAGGATTGGTTGTCGTGACAAATACTTCTCGACTCGTTCAACAGGCTGTCACCAATGACGGACCGGCGGAGACGGCGCCCGTGATCCTATGTCGTGGGCGTCCAATGAAGGGGCCCTGGGACACACACAAATAAATACACACAACTAAAAAGATTCCCCATGTCTTCTCATATTCTCTGGGCTTTTGTCTCCCCGCCCCCCACTTCCCATATGTTTCCATACTTCCGGGGGAAAATCGACGATTCACTGAGTCTGTGTGTTTTTTCCCCCTCCTGAAAGAAGGCGGCGTCCAGGAGGGGCCTGCAAATCATGGACCTAGGAGGAGGCGGAGAAGGAGGAGGAGGAGGAGGAGGAGGAGGAGGAGGAGAAGTGGCTTCGCGCATTTTGCGCCCCGCGGGGCGCGACTCGCAATCCTCTTTCGCGACACCGCGCCCTCGCGCCGCCCCCCCATCGAAGAAAAGGCAACCGCTCTGGCCTGGACCGTGCCGCGCGCAGCGCGGCCCCCTTCTTCGCGCCCCCCCGCGGGTGACCCAGGGCACGGAGGCACGCGCGCGGCCTGTGAACGGACGCACTGAGACAAGAGGAGGGGGCCACGACACATCTGAAGGAACCCTGGGGCACACAAATCAATACACACAAATCAACCGATTCCCCATATTTTCCCATATTTTCTGGGCGTTTGTCTTCCCCCCCACTTCCCATATGTTCCCCTATTTCCTGGGAACCGACGATGACTTGTGTCTGTGTGTTTCCTTCCCTCCTGAACATCGGGGGTGCCCCCCCCCCCGTCCTCGCCCCCCCTCTCGGACGCCCCCGGCGATGTCGGGAGCGGCCGAGAGGGGGGTGTCCAAGAGGGGGGGGTGCAAATCATGACCGGCGGCACGTGCGCGGCCCAGCGGGGGGACCAGGGACGTAATGAAATAAGAAGAGGCGCCATGAAATCTGGGGAAATATCATGGCCCCCGCCATGATATCCACCCCCCCTAGTCATCACCCCCCTCTTTTCCGCCCCCGACGACGGGCAGGCCCGTCGTGCGCAGGGGGCGGTCGGGTCCTGCCCGCACCGCGCGCAGCAGTGCGTGTGGCTCCCGGTGGCCCCGGTCACGAGGTAGCGCTGGCAGCC